TTAACAGATACAAAAATATTGCAATAAGACCCTATATCTTATCAACTCACCATGGCTTAAAGTTGGACTTCAACAGTAACACTAAGTGCAGAAAGCCCACAAAAGCATGGAAATTGAACAGTGCAAAACTGACTCACCACAGGGTCGAGGAAGAAATGTATTAAAGACTTCCTAAATTGAATGGAAATGACAGCACAACAGACCCAGACACAATGCAAGGAGTGCTAAGAAGAAAGTTAATAGTACTAAATGTCTGCGTAAGGAATCTGGAGAAATCCAACACTAGCAAATTCACAGAATACCGGAAAGCTCTAGAAAAAAAAAAGAAAACTCAGGAGAAATAGACAGCAGGAAATAATCGAACTGAGGGCTGAAACCAATAAAACAAAAACAACGAAAACAATACAAAGAATCAATGAGACAAAGTTGGTTCTTCAAGAAAATAAGATAGACAAACCTTTATCCAAACTAATCAAAAGATAGAGAGAGAATATCCAAATTTACAATATCCAAAACTAAAAGGGGGACATAACAAAAACAATGTGGAAATCTAGAGCATCATCAGGTCATAATTCAAAAACCTGTACTCTGCTAAATTGGAAATTTAAAGGAAATGGACAATTTTCTGAATAAGCTCCACATACCAAAATTAAGGAAAAACCAGATGAATGAATTAAATAGATCTATAACCACTAAGGAAATAGAAGCAGTCTTCAAAAGTCTCCCAACCAAAAAAAATCCCAGGGCCAGTAGTTTTCAGTGCAGAATTTCAAAGAAGATCTAATACCAAGATACCTCAAGTTGCTTCACAAAACAGAAACAGAAAGAACACTGCCGAACTCTTTTTAGGAGACTCCAGTTACCCTGATACCCAAACCACAGAAAGATGCAACTAAGAAAGAGAAGTACAGACCACTCTACTTCATGAACTTTGATACAAAAATACTCAGTAAATATCTGGCAAATCAAATCCAACAACACATCTGAAAAAGATTCTGCCATGAATAAATAGGCTTCAACAAAGATAAGCAGGGATGGTTCAACATATTAAAATCCACCAATGTCCTAAAAACAAACTGAAAGAAAAAGAGACACATGATCATCTCATTAGCTGAAAGATTGTTTGACAAAATCCAGCACCCATTGATGATAAAGGTTTGGACAAATGAGGGATAAAGGCAACATACAGTAAGATAACATCCAACATTCAACTGAATTGAAAAACACAGCAATTCCACTAAAATCAGGAACAAGACAAAGCTATCCAATCTTTCCATATCTATTCAATATAACACTCAAAGTTCTAGCTAGAGCAATAAGACAACAAAAGGAGATCAAGGAGATACAAATTGGCAACCTTTGATATTTGCTGATGATATGGTACTATGTGTACGTAAACCCAAAAATTCTACCAAGGAATGTCTACAGCTGATGAACACCTTCAGTAATTTGGCAAGATTGAAAATTAACTCAAATCAGTAGTAACCCTCCTATATACAGATAAAAAATGACCTGAGAAAAAAAATCAGAGGACCATCACCTTCAATACAGCCACAAACAAAATGAAACATCCTGGGGTTACTCTAAACAAAATTGAAAGACCAGTATGACAGGAACTTTAAACTGTAGAGATGAAATTGAAGAGGATGTCAGAAAAATGGGAAGATCTCCCATGCCTTTGGTTAGATAGGATTATCATAGTAAAAATCTTACCAAAATCTATCTACAGATTCAGTGCAATCCCCACAGAATCCCAGCACAATTCTTCACAGACCTTGAAAGAACAGTTCTCAACTTCATATGGAATAAAACCCAGGATATCCAAAACAATCCCTTACACTAAAAGAACCTGGGAGACATCAACATCCCTGGCTTCAAGCTCTACTATAGAGTTAGAGTAATGAAAACAGCTTACTTACTATTGGCAAAAAACAGGTGAAGAAATGGAATTGAATCGAAGACCCTGACATTAATCCACACACCAATGAATGCCTGAGTTTTGACAAAGAAGCTAAAATATATACAATGGAAAAAAGAAAGCATCTTCAACAAGTGGTGCTGGCATAACTGGATGTTGACATGTAGAAGAATGAAAATACATCCATACCTATTGCCATGTAAAAAGCTCAAATCCAAATGGATCAAAGACTGCAGCATAATTCCAACCACACTGAACCTCACAGAAGAGAAAATGGAAATAGCCTTGAACATGTTGACACAAGAGACCATTTCCTAAATATAACACTAGTAGCACAGACACTGAGAACAACGACTAATAAATGGGACCTGCTGAAACTGAGAAGGATCTGTAAAGTAAAGGAATTGGTCAGCAAAACAAAATGTCAGCCTTCAGAATGGGAAAAGATTTTCACCATCTCCACATCAGACATAGGGCTGATCTCCAAAATGTACAAAGAACTCAAGAAACTAGATATCAGAAGACCAAAATAATTCCATTAATACCTGGGGTAGAGATCTAAACAGAGAACTCTCAATAGGGGAATCTCAAATGGCTGAAATACACCGAAGGAACTAATCAACATCCTTAGTCATCAGGGAAATGCAAATCAAAACTACCATGGCTAAGATAAAAAACACTGATGACAGCTTATGCTGGAGAGGATGTAGAGTAAAGGGAACATTCCTCCATTGCTATTGAGACTGCAAACTTTTACAGCTGCTTTGTAAATGAGTATGGCTGTTACTCAGAAAATTGGGAATCATTCTACCTCAAGACTCAGCAAACCACTTTTGGCTATATATACAGGATGCACACTGACACCCAAGAACATTTGCTCAACTATGTTCATGGCAGCATTGTTTGTACTAGCCGGAACCTCAAAACAATGTAGATGCCCCAGGAATGGATAAAGAAAATGTTGGGCACTTACAGAATAGAGTATACTCACTGGTAAAGACAAAGTGACATCTTGACATTATGAAGAAATCGAAGAAATGAAAAAAAACATCCTGAGACAGGTAAACTAGATCCAGAAAGATAAATATGGTAGAATTAACTGGTAAGTGGAAATTAGACATAAAACAAAGATCAACCAGCATATAGTCAACAACCCCAGAGAAGGTAGGTAACAAAGAGGACCCTAAGATAGACATACGTGGATCTGCCTAGGAAGGAGAAATAGAAAAGATCTCTTGAGTAAACTGGGAACATGGTGGTGGGGGTTGGGAGTGGAGAACAAAGGAGGGAAGGGGAGTGAGGAGGAGAACATGAGGTAATGGGATTATCAATTTGGGGGAAGGACAGAGAAGAGAAGCAAGGAAAGAAATACTTTGTAAGAGGGAGAAGGGAGACATTAGGGGGTGGGCAAGAAATCTGACAATCGGTAACTGCCCAGATCCACAAGGATGACTCCCTCTATGTGACAGTGGAGAAGCTGTCTGAACTGGCCTTCCCCTGTCATCAGATTGAGGACTCCCTCAGTTGTCATCATAGAACTTTCATCCAGTAACTGAAGGAAGCAGATGCAGTGATCCACAATTAAGCACTGGCCTGAGCTTCTGGAGACCAGTCAAAGAGAGGCAGGACTGACGATATGAGCAAAGCGGTCAAGAGAAGGATGGGGAAAACCACAGACAGAGCAGACCGGAGCTAGCAGGAGCTCACTGTCTGCAGAGAGACAACTGGGAAACATGCATAGGACCAAATTAGCCACCCACACCATGAATGTCATTGACAGGGGAGAGGCTTGTGTAGTGTGTGGGGCCAGTGACAGTGGGAATAGGATATATCCCTAGTGCATGAACTGGATCTTTGGAGCCCATTCCCTATGGAGAAATACCTTGCTCAGCTGAGACACAGACGTGAGGGCCTTGGTCCTGCCTCAACTTTGTGATGGCACAAACTTCTTTGACTACCCCTGGGAGACCTTAGCCAGTTTGAGAAGAAGATGCCAGGACAGATAGAATAAGGGGAGAGCAGGAGGAGGGGATAGAAGGGGAACTGGTATTTGAAAGGAAACGAAGGATAAATGAAATTTAAAAAACCAACACTCATTAAACAATGCATTTTATTTCCAAATAACAAACACAACTCAATGACTTGGGGTGGGGGCCACTCGTAGAATTGATGGAGGTGGTCTTCTTTTCTCCTAACGCAGGGCCATCTGCCATGGCTTGTGAGACTTGCCTAGTCCCAAGCTGCAGAGAGCAGAGACATTGAGTGGCCCACGTGTTAATAAAGCTAGGACCACCTTGTCAGCACAACAACTAAATCTACTCAGCAGTATAAGCCTCCCAAACTTTGGCATGCTGGGTCCTGTCAACCACCTAGCATCCAGAGAGGACCAGTCCAGAGTTCTCAGCAGCATCTCCCTGTCTTACTGTCCTGGATTTGCTCACCAGGATGCTCATGCAGAGAAGGTCAGGAATACCAAATGCTACAGATCTATCAACTAACTTTGTGAAGCTTCATCGCTATGCTTATTTAGGGGTTGGTGGATGTGTGCAGTTACACTCACATGTAATATGTTTACACTTGTGTGTTTGTGCATCTGTGTCCTTGGATACATACATGTGTATTCTCAAACTTTTATGTGTATAGGACATGTATTTCCTCAAAAGTTAAATCACAGATGCTGTACACCTTGAGTTTTGGACACAGCAAGGTTGATGTGCCTGAAGCCCAGAGTGGTGGTGGTTGTGGTGGTGCACACCTCTGATCCCAGCACTTGGGAGACAAGGCCAGTCTGTCCTCTAGACACATGGCCAAACAGAGAAACCCTGTCTCAAACTATAAAATAAAATAAAAATGAAAAAATAAAACAACAACAAGGCGAAAAAGGACATGCACCTTTCTCTATCTTCAAGTGCTGACGTAGCAAGCCTCAGAAAGCTTCAGCAAGCTTCTTTTGCTACCATTCTGGAGAATGAACTCATACCTCACAATGAAAACAGGCACGGTATGGACAGACAGGCACTGTCCCAGCCCTCTTGTGCTTCTGAATCTCAACCAGGGTAATGATTTCAAAGTCTTGACTCACCACCCGTCGTCTCTCATTGTTGACAGCACAGCCAGGAGCAGCATTGTGTCTATAAAATTTATTCAAGGACATCTGGGCAGCCCAGCTCTAAAAACTATTTTGTTTCTTTATTATGATCAATGGAAAAAAAAGAATGAAAGAAGAAAGGACAAAAACATGTTAAATGGGTTTAGCAGGGCAAGCCTCCCTCCATCCCAGCCCGAAACCCACCTAACCACCCCAGTTGTGGCCTGAGTTGAAGCAGGGACTTCAACAAAGCAGTGCACTAACATGGAACAGGTATAGAGTGGCCACAAGGGGGCAGCACAATGTCAGTTTCTCACAGGCTCAAGGGCCTGCAGTTTCCTGCCTTTCTTATTAGCACAGGAAGGAGGTAGTCTCCATGCCCTCCAAACCTGCCTCCTCACTCCTCCCATATGATCAATAGGAAGAACTCACTGACCAGATCCTCGCTGCAGTGCACAGGAGTTGAACTCAGTGTTGAGGCCAATGACTGATGTGAGTCACACAAAATATTCACTGCACATCTGGATGCTCTGTTTTCGTCCCTCCATGGGAAAGGCGTTCTGATTCACGGGGAATGTGTGGTTGTGATGGATTGCATGGAGGTTCTTATCTCAGATATGACCATTAAGATTGGGGAGTAGGGATTATTTATTTAAAATAGTGTCATTCCTCCTAGATTGTCCTCAAACCCTCTGGGTTGGAAGATGACTGCCTGATACTCTTTCTTTTTTTTTTTTTTTTTTTTTTTTTTTGATTTTACGAGTCAGGGTTTCTCTGTATTGTTTTGGAGGCTGTCGGTCCAGCCCGGCCTCGAACTCACAGAGATCCGTCTGCCTCTGCCTCCCGAGTGCTGGGATTAAAGGTGAGTGCCACCACCGCCCGGCTGCCTGATACTCTTACCTCCAACCCTGAAAACCGGGTAAACTACACCCGGTTTTAATTTGTCCTGGGAAAGAACCCAGAACCATGAACCACTGTGCATGCTGGACACACTGATCCCTAGTCCTCCTGTTCACATTGTTTTTAGAGAGAGATCTCACACTGCCACCAAAGCTAGACTACTGCCCTTATATAGCCCAGGCTGGCCTTGAGTCTATGGCTAGTCCCGAATCTAAGCCTCCAGAATACTGGGATATCAGCATACACCTTCACCTTGGCTCTGCCATCTAGTCTTAAGGGAAATCCACAAAATGCCTAGAAAGGGAAAATGGGAGGGAGGGAGAGCCCAGGGATGAGGGGACTGAACCTTCAAGCAATGTGAGGCTTCATCTTCCTACTATCATCAGCTGCTGCTGTGGACATGCACTGGAGAGGCTTCTGCCTTCCATTCTGCCCCACGGAGCTGCATAGAGAGTTAGATGAGACCAGCCTGAGGACTGCTAATCAGAACGGGGCTTTGAAAATAACTGGCTACACAGGTGATGACCTGGGCTGCTGCACACTGACCTGAGTGTCCTTGACATGGCATGGGATGGGGACACCTTCCTTTACCTCCCTCCTGCCGAGGTCACAACTCACCAGCTTCAGAAGAAAAGGCTACGCTCGAGTTTGCGGTTCTTCAAAAGACTCTCAGTAGAAAGTCAGGTCATCTAGAAATAGTGAAAGAGAAAAGGCAGGGTCAATGGTGCAGATCTGTTATTCCATAGGGATGACCCAGAGCTCCAGGTCTTCCTCAGCTACACAGTGGATCCCAGGCTAGGCTGACATACAGGTATGACTCAGTTGGGACAGCTCTTGCCCAGCATGTAGGATTTTGTCTCCAGGAAAAAATAAACCAGACTTGGTGGAGAATTACTGGAATTCCTGCATTTGGTTCATGGAGATAGAAAGATTAAAATTTAAGGATATTCACAGCTACATGCATCATTGAGAAACAAAACCACAATACCCAATAGGATTAGGTGCTCACCTGTAGCCCCAACATTCATTTGGGGATTGGAGGGTTACCAGTCCTTGGAAGCCTGTACTGCATACAGGAAACCTGTGTCAAAATAAGAGGAGAGGGGGAAAAGGATTTCTCATTTGAGGGGACTGAGAGTTATGTCACTGTGGGGTTCAAGAGTCAAGAATTTTAGAAATAAGAATGAATTACCATGGATATAGGGTCTAGACAGAATTGAGGAACAACAGGAAAGGCAGGATTGGAGAACTGTACACAATGAGTATGTGTGTATATTAGCATGACACATCCATGCCCACAGGGGTGTATGTGTGAGTGGTCGTGTCTGTCTGTCTCTTCTCACTGATTGAGCTCGTGTGTAGACCAGGAATAGAGACCCAGTGCTTTCACACCCTAATACTTTAGTTTGATTTTTGAGACAGGGTTTCTTTGTGCACAAGTGGCTGTGCTTGAACTCTCTCTGTAGCCCAGGCTACAGACCAGAAACAACAGAGATCAGGCTGCTCCCAGTCCTGGGTTATGTGGTGCTCCACCACCATGGACTTCCACCTTACTTTTCAAATGAGGTGTCTCCCTGACCTCTGCGCAGCAAGCTGCCATTCCGGCCTCTCTCCTCCACCAGGCCTGAGATGAGACAAGGATGCTGCCACAGCCTGGTTTCAGTCTTTGCATTCACGCAGCTCCCAGCGCCAGGATCCACATCTCAGAATTTAAGTAATCAGAACGTGCATGTTCCTTGTGAAGGGTTACACTCAGCCTGGAACTCCCTACACTGAACCTGAGTTGTTCCTACTTAACAGGGCAGAGGGCTTCAGACCCAGAAATTCTGCCTTGGGGAGTTGGAAAAGAAGACTAAGATCCTGCTCCAGGTCATCTTTGTCTATAGGGCTGCCTGCCTGGGACAGATGAGACCTTGACTAAAACACAAGTGCTAGCAGTGTTCCAGTGCACCTGAGGAGGAACAGAGTCAGCAGCACCACAGGAAATAAAGCCAGCATGGACGACACACAGCACATCAGTCCACCCGAGTTACAGGACAAGACTCTGTGAACACTAAAACCAACAAAGGAAAAGAGTTGGTGGCAATACTTTTTCTCCCAAACAATATGGACAGAACCAAATCTCAGAAAAGTGTGCATGTGACATCTTAACACAATTGTCAGGCAATGAGAGCCAATTTCCCTCTTGGGTTTTAGACAGAATGGTTTCCCTTAGCATCTTCTGTGATTCTGTTATTATTAAAGTGGCTGATTCAAGGTTTCATGTCTTAGTTATAATTTCTGTATCTACTCCAGTCAATGGCAATTTTATGTTTGCATTAGTGTTTGCTGTTCATGGCCTTCTTCAGGGTTTAGTGATTCTTTGAAGATACAGTTTAAGACAGTGCGGCTCACCTGCATGGAAGTTGTTCATGTACAAGTAGATACACAGAGACAGACATAGAGGCAGAGAAAAATGAGACACACACACACAGAGAGAGAGAGGGAGAGAGAGAGAGAGAGAGAGAGAGAGAGAGAGAGAGAGAGAGAGAGAGAGAGAGAGAATTGGAGTGAAGAGACTCACCAGGGTCTCTCGAGCTCAGGCAAACAACATAATTGTATGCCAAGTCAGATCTCCCTCCCAGGCTGGACAGAGTCCTCTGAGAAGTCCTTCTCAGCTCTGTCTGAGAAGCTCAGCCTGGTCCTGTGGCTGAGGCAAGCACAGGATCCTGGGGAATCTCCTTTCCCAGAGTTGCAGATGGTGGTTGGGAAAGCATAGGGCTCTGGGATGCTCGTTCCACCTCAGAGTGTAATAAGATACCCCTTTCTTCTCAGATTTGGTACAAAAGTGTCTTTCCTATGAGCTTAGTGTTGCTCAGAGGACACTCAGAAAATTATGATTCACCTTTGTGCAACACAACAGGGACATGCTGTGGAGCACAAACAATGTCCTAGCAAGACGACGATTCCAGGAACCTTCTCTTCCAGGGTTCAATTTAGGGTCAAGCTGGACAGAAGATAGTCACACAGACTTCTCCGTGCCTCGTGCCATGACATGTTGGGACAGTCTAGGGAGAAGGAGGACACAAGATGAGATCATGCTCCTGTGACTGTAGGGTGGACAGGGATGTTTTCCAGAAGCTCTCCCAAACGATGTGCAAAGGGCTGCTTATCTGTGGGAGAATGCGCAACTTGCGAAGAGTCACAGAAATGGAAGGAACCATCACCCAGCAGAGAGCAGACTGTGGCTGGCAGTAGGCAGGGCCTGCAGCAGGTTGCTGCTCCCTCATGAAGGTTTCAGGTTTGACCACGATCAGGACACCCATCATTCCCTCACGCTGTGGCAAATGGTGTTGTGTACAGAATTCAGTTCCCAATGTGAATGGCGGCCTTGAAGAAGCAAACATGGAGAGGCAGTTGGTGAGTAACTAGTGGGCAGAAGTGGTGGAGAGAGAGGACTCATGGCATTGAGTCAAGCCTCAGATGAGAATTTCCCAAGCTTAGCTGAGTGGGGTCTGAGGACTGAGGCAGTGGAACTTGCTGTGATGATCTCTGCAGGTTTTTGCAAGTGTTTGGCAGGAGGTTGCCCTCTAGAGCATTCCATGGGGCTGCCTGCAGGCCAGATTCTCCACCTGAGAGCCGATCTTGGGGAAGATTCACTAGGAATACTCTCCCTGGCAGGAAAAGGCTCACCCTGTGCACAAGATCATGTTCCCTGCCAGGAAACAAGGAGCACAGGACAGTCATTACGCAGAGGGCAGTCTTGATGTTTACCCAGGCAGAGAGGAGGGGAAGGGGCTATTGTTCCACAACACGGTCTGGGCCACCTTTGTAACTCTGCCCTGCCCTCTGAACAAGACCCCATGTAAAGCCTGCCCTTCCCGCCTGGGTTTTCACCTGGTGAGAGCTGAGCTGGAGTGGGCAGCTTTTCTTCCTCTGCAGGAAGAGCCTGCAGACACACTTCCTCCTGGACATCTGGCCTGGCTCCCCAGTGGTTTGTCCTCATCTCAGCCAGGCCCATCTCCAACCCGGGGCTCACAAGCCACGGAGCTGGGTCTGGACGTCTTCTGCGCTACAAAGGAGAAAGACACAGAAAGGAGAAGCTTAGTGACTTTGGAATACCGAGAACTTACTGTGCTGGCCCTGCTGCACCTAAGCACCCAACTGCCTGCTTTACCGATGCCCCCTCCTCCTGCTCTGCACGCTGTGATCAGCATCTCTGCTGTCCAATTCTAGCTCTACAAGCCTGAGGTCACACTGGAGGGGATCCTCTGGAATTGGTCTTTATGAAGGGACAGCTTGTTAAGTTCACAAGTGTGCCACAAGTGTGCACAGTCATTCTCTGTCACAAAGAACAGGAGGCAAAGAATGAGTAAAATGAAGTAAGTGTCCCCACCTGGTTCTGTGGTTGACTCCACGATCCTGTTTCCTTGGAGCCAGGTTCTTACAGGAGTCGTGGCTTCTATTGGCAGGGGCCAGGCAGCAGCACAGGTGTCTGAGGCAGTTCACCATTGCTCTCTTGGCCCCCTTCCACCTGTGGCGCCTACGGCTTTGGGAGGAAGCTGGGCCGGCAACCTCAGGCTGGCCATGGGTGATGGCATTCTCCTCTGTGATAGAGTCATCCTGAGTCATGGTCATTTCAGGTGTATCATCCTCTTCCTGGGTTATGGTTGCTTCTTTTGTGGTGGCTTCTTGGTGGGTTATAGTCACTTCCTCTGTGATGGACACTTCCTGGGTTATGGTGGTTTCTTGTGTGATGGTACCTTCCTCATTCATGGCCTCTTCCTGTGTGATATTCACTTGCTCACTAATGTCTTCTTCTTGTGTCATGGTGTCTTCCTGCAATGTATTCCAAGAGGAGGAGGAGCCTTTGGGATTACACCCTGAACTGTCTCCACTGAGCTCCCGAATTCCTCTTGGTAACTGCAGGAAGCTCTGTTGCCTGTGTCACGTGTGGTCTCATTGTGCTCTGGACTAGAAGAAGCAGTGTACATTAAGAGTCATGATGGGTGGACACTGGCCCTCAGGCTGCCACTTTTCCCAATCATCGACTCAGAGAAATTCTCGCTCATTTCCTCGCTACTGCACGTGAGGAAAAGAGCAGGATGCCTGTTCAGGTAGACCTGGTGGGGAGGTCGGGTCCTCTCTGAGTGGTGGCACAGGGTGGCAGGCATGCTATGCCTTGTGCCACACTGCCTGGCATTCTTCTCATGCTCTCTCTCCTGGGGATTGGATGACAAGGTGAAGGTCAGGGGAGCAGGCTCGCTAGCTCGCCTTAGGGGCACAGGGAAGGTGTGAAGATCATCCAGGTTGAGGACAAGGTCTGGCTGCATGGATTTCACCTGGTGATGGCAGCAGTCTCCCCCAGGAGACTGGTGTTGGAGAATCAGGTAAGTGGCCATCACCTGGTTGTAGTTTGGGTCTCTCAGAGAATCCATGATTTCCTCATACTTATTTCCCATGACCATCATGGTGCCTACAATGTTAGGGCTCAGGGCGCCTGGGAGTTTCTGTGTGGAAGTAGGTGGTGAATGTGCCTTTCTGTCCCTGATCATGGGGCGCCTCATGATTTGGTCAATGGTGGGCCTCCTGCTCGGGTTGATCATCAGCAGTTCTACGATGACATTGAAAATATCCATGGAAACATGCTGAGGTATGCTGAAGTTTGCAGCAAGGATCTGACGCCTAACACCTTCAGAAGAGCTGGCCTGGAAGGGAAAGCGCCCAACCACCATTAGGAAGAGGAGCACACCTAGACTCCACATATCTGTGGCATACGCATCATAGGCCTCCTCTGCAAAGAGTTCTGGGGCACAGTAGAGCAGAGTGCCACAGAAGTCCTTCAGCAGCTGTCCTGGGGTCACGTTGGCAGCAAGGCCAAAATCACACAGTTTGGCATCACCTCTGCTGTCCAGGAGTATGTTATTGGCCTTAATGTCCCTGTGGGCAATACGGTTGCTATGGCAATACTCCACTGCAAGGAGTATCTGGGAAAATAGTTGTCGCGCCTCCCTCTCCTCTAAGGACCCCACTTCCAGAATGTGTCGAAGAAGATCTCCCTCTGATGCGTACTCCATCACCAAGAAGGTGGTCTCTCTTGATTGGAGCACGTGCAACAACTTAATGAAGTTCTGGTGTTTCAGAGATTTCATGATATTGACTTCACGGTTGACAAGCGATGCATTCTTCTTATTTATAAGTACTTTTACAGCCACACAGGTAACAGTAGGAATGTGGAAGGCCAGTTTCACCTCTGAAAAATGTCCCCAGCCCAAGGTCATCATCATCTTATAGTCAGTCATGAAGGACTCCTCAGAGGAGTAGTAGGGGTCCCTGCCCTGCTCCATGGTAGGGTCCTTGTTGAAATGGCTAGAAACAAATTCACAATGGGTTAGTTGAAAGAAAGGGTTCATATCAGGCCCAGGAAACTTTCCATAGCTACACATTCCTATGTCCTAAAGGAAGGCACTTAGAGACATTGCAGACAACCTAACCAGGTACTTGATGGTCAGGAAGAGAAATAAGTATCTTCCATAGCCATGGACTGCAGAATGTGACACCAATGGCACTGTCAGGAACCATCCAGAAACTCATAGAATGAAACAAAGGTCATAGAATCTAAGAGCCATTCATTGGGGGAGGGTCATGATCCTCTTACTGCACCCAACACTCACAGAGATGAGCCTCTAGTAAAACCAGTTGCAATAGCAGTTACCAAGACAACAGACATCTGAAAACCCAGAGTGTATGTGTGGGGAGATAGCTCAGGAGCATTCACTCACAGGAGGCAGCCTCTGACTACATTGGGATGCTGTGACAAAATGCCGTGTTCCACAGAAACCCAGGGCCTGGACTAACATCTATGGGGGTTAAAGATGACTTCATTCATAACATGATACCCATTAGGCCTGAGACTTCACACCAAACCCCAGGATTCCAGAGTCAATTTTCTGATGTGTTCAAAATGATGAAGAAAATATTTGTCTGCCAGAACCCTAAGACAACATGAGGAAGATGGAGCCATACCTTGGCACCCTAGGCTCTTCCTCTCAAACAAAATGCCTCAGTTTTGTCACTTAAAAACAACAGAAATGGGTTGCTTATGTATCTGGACATTCACAAAGTATGATCAATGGACATTCACAAGATAAGATCAAGTACCTGGGGCCCGAGTGTACAGCAGGACTGCACTCTAGCTCTAATTGGTACTTTGTGTGTTTTCTCACATGATCAAGGAAAAGCATGAAGTCAGTCTATGAAGGCTTTTCTTAAAGGCCACATGTTCTGCTGTGTGACAAACTCTAGTGCTCCTGACTCCCCACTTGTTACTACCGTTCTATTAAGACTGAAGTTTTTAACAGGGACTTTGTAGTGCACAGGCACATATTTTTAGACACACACACACACACACAGACACACACACTGCAATCAGATGTGATTCAACTAGCTGTATTCACCCTGAGGAGAGTCCTTCAGGGTCAGCTGATGCACCTTGTTTAGTAGCTCAATGGGAAAGCCAGCATACCTAGATTCTGTGTTCATAAAAATGACCTTGGATCAGAGAGTGGAACCAGCAAATGGTTGATAGGAATTAGGTATACAGAGGATGGAGAAGTCAGGAATAGGGATAAGGAGATGAAACAGAAGGAGCATGGGGGTTCTTAAAGATTCAGGGTCATTTGGTGTGGGATAGACAGAGAGACACTTTACTTGTTGGGTAACTGTCCAAATAGAGGCCAAGAAGAAATTAGCTAAACTTCCTAAGAGTTTGCAGGCTCTCTTTACACTTTCACTTACTCTGTTCTTGAATTCTTTTCAGCTGCCCTGTTCAATATATAATATCCAAACAATGGCGTCTGACTACTTCCTCTGCCCTTGCCAATCATGACCTTGAACTGCCATGAAGATCCTAACATAACCACCAAGCAGGAGGCTTCCTGCCAAAGCAGACACATTGGTGCCCTTCCCTAAGAGACCATCCATTGTGGCCTGTCAGTCCTCTCAACAGGAGTCCACATGACATGGCATGTACTCAGAAAGCAGCTGAATAAAAAGGGAATCACTGAGGGACTTGGAACGGGTGGGCAGTGAGATCAGGGGACTGTGCACCAAGTTTTTGCACATGAATGTAAATGCCACCGTGAGAATCTTGTATAGTTAATATAAACTGATATTTTTAAATGGCGAAAAAAGGGAATATGTCCAGATAAATGGCACATAAAAATAGAGTAAATTCATCCGGGTGTTGATGGCACACCCCTTTAATCCCAGTACTCGGGAGGCAGAGGCAGAGGCAGGCTTGTGAGTTGGAAGCCAACCTGGTTTACAGAGTGAGTTCCAGGACAGCCTCCAAAACAATACTGAGAAACCCTGTCTGGAAAAACCAAAAAATAAAACAGAGTAAGTTCTAATAAAAAAAAATTGCCCCACATTGTATCCCAAACCAAAGAAGAAGGATGGTAGATTTAGTTTAAATTCAGAGAAACAAAATCTCTAAACCTGGAATCTATGAATTACAAGGCACTCATTGTGTTCAGATTCACCAATTCAAGAATATCCAAGTATAAGTAGCTCACTAATATCCAAATCTCAATAATCTCCAACCAGCTAACAGCTTCTGCGCTGTAAGGACTGGAGTCAGCCTCAGCCAGAGCTGTTAGTGCAGAGGAGTCTGTCATTGTGAGGTCACAGCAAGAAATGGACCAATGACGGTTCAGCACACCTCACTGGTGTTCTTACCTTCTGTCACCAAGGACAGGAAGGCTAGTCTGCTCAGTGAGGCAGTAGGAGCCTGATAAGACTGTCTACACTCAAATGACTGTCCCCAGTGTGCCCAGTGAGACACTTCTTCCTGTAAAGTCAATTTCCCTGGGGTTCACAAGTTTTCCAAATGATGTCACCTGGTGGGAACTATGTCCAAACACTTGATTCTTTGTGGGCATTGACACACAAACCTTAGCTAGGAGCGTCCATGTTCAGATTGGTAACTTTATTTTTATCTTTATATTGGTATATGTGTGTTTATTGTGCGTGCATATTCATGTTATGGTGCACACAATGAAGCTAGAGGACAACACGACGGAGTACAGTTTGTCACTTTCCACAATGTAGGCCTATGGTTCTGAACTCACATTCTCAGACTTGGCAGCAAGCACCTTCACACACTGAGCCATCTGGCTGACCTTCAGTAGAACTTCCAAGTTTCTTGCCTAAAGCTCAGTGTGGTGATACATGCACATGTTCCTACCACTCAAGACACAGCGTGCTGCTACTTAGTGTGGACTGAATTGTAGCCTTCTTGCTTGAATATCATGAGTGGTAGGCTATTTGCCTTATTATTTGACCTACACACCTCTTTTTGAAAACGGTGTTCTTTAGAAGCAACTTCAGACTTTCCAAAGGTTGGAAAGAGATGAGAGGGAGAGCTCTGGGTCAGTAAAGTGTCTTCTGTGCAAGTGTGAATACTGGAGTTCAGATTCCTTCCACCATGTTAAAGCTAATGCAGACTGGTGGATCCCTGAATCTCACTGGCCCGCAGACTAGCCAGTCTGATCTCCAGGTTGTGTGAGATTCCTTGTCTCAAAAGAGAAGGTGAGGAGAGACAGAGGAAGACACCACAGAGATAAACTGTGACCTTCACACGTGGACATATGGCATATGCACTCGTATGTCCACACATGCACACACACCTCCACACACAGGCTAGGCTGGAGTCACGATACTGTATTCAGATCAATGAGGATGTGGAGTCAAGGAAATCAAGACCAGCCTTGACTACATTTGACTCCAAGATTAAAAACAAAAAAAAATTGAAAGAATGAAGAACCCCTGGATAATCAGTCTTTTAGGTTTCCTCAACATTTCTAAGTATTTTGTAATCCCTGAAACTTTCCGACATGTTACAGACATGACTCTTTATGACAAGAACATTGCCTGCAGAACAGTTTACCAGCCCAATGGGCACAAAGACAGTTATTAGCCTGTAGTGTTTGCCGTGCTGGGGACCAAGTGCAGAGTGTTTTTTTTTTAAGATGTTGGCCAATGGGGGCTCATAGGCCCCCAAGCATTATAGGCTACTGTCAATACTTGTGGTTACCCTGTAGCACTTGATGGTAATCTCTTAATGCTTAAGACACCACATACTTGAGTCACACAGCATAGAAAAATCAAACTGTACTCACCTGGAAGCTTCATCTCAACTGGCTAGCTTTCATAGCGCTACAAGGAATGCTCCTGGAGAAAAGTAATCACCTAGTTGTGAACCCACTAGCTACAAGACCTATTAGCCTGGTAAAATATACCCACTGGTATAACAGTGGTAAGAAGATCATGGGAGTAACCAACCACTTTCTGATTGGCTCTAAGGATCAGTCCATTAGATAGAACCCATGCCTGGCACTGTTAATGGGGCCAAGAACATGTAGTTAGGTAGGTCATAAGCCCTGGGGGAGAGAACCTAATATTACTATTCTGCTAAACAGACATAGTACTAAAATGACTCCTAATGACCAATATACCCATAGATCAGAAAATCTCTCAAGCCTCAGAGGGGCTGCTTCTTGCAACAAAACAGTGGGGGGGGGGAGATACCCCCAGAGGCCAGAAGATGACACTAGGTCTTTTCGGGCTGGAGTTATAGACAGTTGTATGCTGTCTGACATGGGTGCTAGGAACTGAACTCCAGCAAGTGTTCTTAACTGCTGAGCCATCTCTCCACTCCTACCAGCAGGACAACTTTTAATAAGGTTGTTGACCAAGTGGTGTGGCTAGGTAGGGGTGATGACAAAATGAAGATCAGGCTAGAGCAGGATGACAAATTAAGTGAGACACTTAGCCAAACTAATGCTATTGGAAGCAGAAAAAGAAAAAAAAACGTGTGTGGCAGGGAGGGCACTGGAGAGATGGATCAGTTGTTCAAAGTACTGGCTGCTCTTCCAGAGGACCTGGGTTCAATTCTCAGCACCCACATGGCAGCTCTCAACTGTCTAACCCCAATCCTAGGGGATCCAATACTCTCTTCTGCCCTCTAGGAGCACCAGACATATGCAGGACCATGGACAGTGGGTCAAGGCAGTTCTAGAAAATTCCTCTGCAAAAACCCAAAACAAAAATTACTGAGCCTCTGGTTTGCTGGGTGGCTCTCTGCTGCTGCTAGATCTGCTTGGTGGGATATTTTGGGCAGAGGAAATGGGAGAGTGTAGGGCAGTTTTTTGTCCATTTATCTTTCAGCTCAATGTGCCCCCAAACCCATCCACTGCCAGAACTGCAACCTGGACTAAAGACATGCCCCCTGTCCCAGGGACAGCAGAACCTGGGGTCCAGCTTGGTGCCTCACTACTCTGTTAGAGCCATCAGAACCCACCAGGATGCAGTGGTTCTTAGCAGCTGTAAGGTGGAGGTGAGGACAGTTGAGTTCCAAACTGACTGGAAGGGGACACAGCAGAAGAGCTGACAAAGGCCACACAGAGCTAAGCTGCACTGGCCAGCCATGGGTGTGAACTCCATCTACGTAGGTGAGAGGCAGAGTAAAAGCAGGCCCCTCACTGCTCTGAGGCAGGTTTCCTGGGTGTCTAGAACATGTACTGGAAGGCAAGCCTTCAGGGGATCTTCACGTCAAAATTTAGTTCTGGTTCGAGGTGAGGGGAAGAAAAAAGAGCTCACACAGGATTTGAGTGCAAAAAATAAATATAAAATTTATTAAAACACCCACAATATTTTAAAGATGCCAGGAGTAATACAGTTCACAAACAGTTGTTTGTGTAAATTATAATAAAATACAAATCAAAAAAGGATACATACTTGCAATTTCTAGGCACCCTAAATTAAATTTACTGAAACACTGGGGGAGAAGGAAAGGGAAAGGAAGGCGATAGTTCAGGAGACAAACCAATAAAGTGGAAGGAAAATATTAACAAAAAGGTAAAAATTATACAAAATAAAATTATCAGCATAAATTTACTGTACTAAGATATCTACAGTTTAATAATACACATCCTATTGCCTTGAGACATTGCAAAAACCTATCATTCATCCATCAACCCCAGATAAACTTCATTTCAAGTAGCCACAGTTTACAAAGTCAAGACGGAATATTCAAGTATGGTTGTTAAGTTCACCTCCATTGGAAGCCAGGTAACCAAACAGGAATTCAAAGAGATAAGAAATAAAACACATCCAAAAGCTATAAGGGTTCTAGATCAAATCTAAAGCATTAGTATGCTGAGATAGCCAGTCCTTGCTTCTTTAAAGAAAAATGACACCACTCCTGTCTGTCTTTCCCCCCTCAAAAGAAAACAAACCTGTATTGGAATCAAGAAAAATTGGGATGTCCAGATGAGCCAATTAGTATCTAAAGTCCCCGTATGAAGAGTAAGGGTTCCCCCTGAATGATGGGCAGGCAGAGCAAGGAGAGCATGAATGACACCCTACAGAAAACATCCCTGATATCAGAACAGAAACAAACAAACGGCTCACTGCTCTGTAGCACACAGCCCAGAGTCCAGCGTCCGTGCCAGTCTGCTCAGGTGAAAAGCCTATTGCTTTGCCCTCTCAGGCAGCAATGCAGGAAGGCGGCACTCCTGGAAGCAGCTATGCAAAGTCGGGCGGAAGTGGGGCTTCGAGCCTGGCTTGGTATATGCACCTCCAATGTGTTAATTTGGTCCAGGGTACGTGGTGAAGTTGGCCTGGTAGGGACAGCAGATAAAACCAGGCGTGGGAGTTTTCAAACAACAGCAACCATGACAGAAAGCTCGATGAGATGGGCAAAGGAGATTCACATTTGATTCAAACGCAAAACTTAGAATGAAAAAAACCCAACCATATTCCTTCCCGTAGGCACTCTGCCATTAACTGCTGAACAATGAGCAAAGAAAAATGACCCCAGCTGTGTCAAGGTCAAGGAAGTCATCCAATGGACAACCTTCAGGTATCACACCCTCGTGGAATCTAAGTTGTCACAATGTCCTGTTTCTGAGGTATTTGAAAAAAAATTGTGACAGTGAATGATGAAAAATGGAGCTTCCTGTCGAGTTCTTAAAATTTACATCAGCTTATGTGGACACAAGAAGTTTAGCACCAACTAAAAGCAGCCTTGGTGGTATTGAGGGACAATTAAAGCACCTGCCTTTAGTCTCAGCACCAGGAGCTACCAGTGAGTGGCAAGAA